TATGTAGGTATGTAATGTGTGTACCTGTCTGTATGTATGCTTGTACTGTATACTGTACTGTATGTATGTATGTAACATGTAATGTCAGTAATGTCTGTATGTAATGTCTCTATAGTCTGTCTATATAATTCAAAATCATACTGTAAATTAGTACGAATCGTATCGTATCAAATCACAACAATCACATCCCATACATAGTCACATCACCACAAAAGTCACATTGTACACTGTATCTATTATATAAATTATATAAATATATTTTTTAGATTGTATTTGTTTAATCTGTGGTTTAAAACTATCAGAAACTACATCGTTACATCATACTATGCTACCTACTGTACTGCATGTACGGTAGTATAGTCAGGAAATATGAATTTCTGAATTACTAGTGAGTTTCCAAAAACTAGCAGTCAATATATGTTTTGGCATGCAACCATTCCAGCCTTTGTGCTTGTCTGTTGCACTTAGCCCTCCAAAGATATGCTTCTCCAAGGATATCATTCTGGAAACAAGAATCCTTCAAAAGCTACCGATAAGCATTTCATGTTTTTTTTTGAGGGGGGTAGGGCGAACATTTATTTCAGCGTTTACACTCTCATATTTCTTACCCTGCTACATAGCCCATACCCTGGCCCAAAGCCCATATGATAGCCTATTATATGCCTAGCCTAGCCTATTCCCTATGATGCCGCATGCCGCCTATAGCCTATAGCCTAGCCCTTGGCCTCCCTAAACCTATCCAAGGAAGACTCGAAAGAGCATGAAACAGCTGAACTCCAGATTGGCGAGATTACTGGGGACGATCTGGCCAGTTCAGTGAATGTGGTGGATGATTTGTTTGGTTTGCCGCCATCTTCTGCTGGTGGATCTAGCAGTTCATCGGGGTTGAAAGAGACTGAAAAAACAAAATCAAATGTGGAACAAATCGCAGAGCTTTTCAATTTGCCTATGGCTTCAAAGGTCACTATTGAAGACGTTTCAGTTTGGATTGAGTTCCAGACTTGCTTGGCTAGCGGTTCGTTTGCTTATGTTTATGATGCTGATCGCAAAAATCTCTTGGGTGTAGTGAAGACAGCGAAGTTTGTTCTAAACAGTTTCAGTTTTCAAGCGTTGTGCAAAGTGCACAGACCAAGTAACACTTGCAAATGCTGGGTGAGTTTTTCAAATGAATCACAAAGAATTCCAGTGTTTAGAGACTTGTTGAAATGGCTTGGGCATAGTCGTTGTGAAAAAACATCTCACATTGACTCAAGCTCTGAAATTCGAAAGGCCTATGGAATGAAAATCAGGAAGTAGGTGTGCACGGTTTGAATTCATACAATTCAGAGTCACATTCTCGTATGTGGCAGGATGCAAGCTTGCATCACATGCTTGCAGCAATCTCAATTAAGGATTTGCAAAAGTATGCAATCGCCATGGCAGCTTTGAGTGTGAATTCAGGCGTCTCAAACGCAGGAGTCTGTTGAGACAGTGGAGGTTTCAAATGGCTAGATTTATCATTCAAGAAGTGTGGCAACACTTGTGGCAATATGTTTTGCCACAACATTTTTGGTGATTTTTTTTCGTTAAAATTTCGTTGAAATTTCGCTAAAATTTTGTTGACTTGGATGGTTTACCAACGAAATTTTAACGAAATTTTGACGAAATCCCAACGAATTTTTTTTGTGGCAAAATGTTGTGGCAAAACGTTTTGCCACAACACAAAAATCGAAAAAACCTAGGGTTTTAACGAAATTTTGGCTTGTGGCAAAACGTTTTGCCACAACATTTTGCCACAAACAAAATCGTTGGGATTTCGTCAAAATTTCGTTAAAATTTCGTTGGTAAGCCATCCAAGTCAACGAAATTTTAACGAAATTTTAACGAAAAAAAATCAACAAAAATATTGTGGCAAAACATGTTGCCACAAGGTTTGCCACAAGTTTTGCCACAAGATTTGCATCCCAACTTACCTCGTTCTGTTTTGAGATACCTTCTATCTTGTCCGTGCGTTTGCCCTGTTGCTTCCTATTCATCTTGAATCTTACTCTCATCCGTATCTCTGTTGTCATCCTAAGCATCGAAGAACAAAGCCAGTGCAAGAGCTTCAAGTCAAAAGAGCTTTGAGTTTTTTCAGCATCAAGTGTTTGAGAAATGAAACAACATATCTTTTCATTGTGAAATTGTTGAAGCAAAATTCCTGAGTATGTGAGACGTCAATCGTTTTTGATGCAGCTGCTTTTCGGCCCCCGAGTCTGTTACAATTTGTAGGTGTTTTCCCGAAGGTTTTCCTATCCTTCCAGTATGAGCTCCAAGCTTATGGGATCACCTAAGAATCGAACATCGCCTCCGCCTGCCACGCCCAAACGTTTGCGCCGTCAAGGTGCGACATTCTTTTCGCCAGGTAGTGAGAAGAGCAGCCCAGGATCATCGTCTGATTCGTTTATCAGTGAGTTCAGGAAGAAGCTTTCTTTGGTGAGCCCGAAGACACCAGTCAACCGTGGAGGGAGCCGCAAGGATGAGATGTCTCCTATGGGGAGTTCCTTTTCATCATCACCGGCATCCAACGCTACTACTCTTGTCATGGGTTCGTTGCAGCCTAAGAGGAGAACCCGCAATCGCCCTGTTTCCTCACCTGGTTCTACCTCAACATCACCCAAGACACCCACCTCATCAACATCTATGTCCATGAAGAGTATGAAGGCACCTATGTCTATGAAGAGTATGAAGGCAAAGGTGCATCAGCAGGTCATGAAGGCAATGAAGCCTGTGAAAGGGAAGGGCAAGCCGGTGAAGAAGGATATCGTTTTGAAGAAGAACCCCAAGAAGCACCCCATCTGGAAACCCAGCTCCGACACCATCATCATTTGTCCCAAGAAGTTTTACAAGGGGTGGCGTGCCTATCATGGTCAGGTCAAAATGTTGCAAAACGATTTGGGACAAGCCTGGTATGAACATCGCGACCTTCGTGGCTACAACAAGTCGTTTCGTTGCGGCGCTGAGGCATTCAAATCGTTTTTCGGCTTTCTACTGATTATATAAGTGTTTTTATGCATGTTCATCAAACAATCCAATGCACTTGAGCAAGTGACATGCTGAGTGTGTGAGAGCAATGCTCACTGAATATTTCTTGCTAAACATCACACAAGAATAATTGCAGCAAGTGTGTGTGCGTGTGTATGTTTCGGGTAGTATCCATCAACCAAACATGTTTATATTTCAAATTCTTATGAAGTGGCAAATTAAAATCTATGTTGTATAGTAGACCTAGCCTATGCGACTATGTGACACTATGTGACGACTATGTGACATGTGTTTCACCAAATGACCCAAATAACTCATCAATACGAGTTCTAAAAGTTACATATGTTATTAATAATAGATAGACAAATAAAGTTCATTTATGCTGATGCTGCACATTGTAGTTAAATAACATAGTAGTAAGAATTAATAAAACCTACATCACAATGTGTGACAATGTGACAATGTATCAATCGAAACATTTTAGAAATAAAATCAAGAACTAATAATCTTAGACTGTATACTGTAAACTGTAAAATTCTTAGTATACTGTGTATCATAAATTGAATGAACACTATTATGTAATTATTATTAATTGTTAATGTAATAATTTTATACTGTATGCCGATGCCGATACCGGAATTTATATTAGTTTGTTGATGGTTTTGATTTTCCAACTTAAGATAATTCAATCATTACATTATTGTTCTCCGGCTATCTACTACTTAATCGACATGTCTTTACAAGTATGAGTCTGAGCCAGTATTTGAAAGGTTATGCTAACAGAAGGGAATTATCATGGATCATAGAATCATATCAGTCAATACAGTATCATGTGATATGTCATATGAGTCATATGAGTTGAATATCTACGTAAGTAATATCCACCAAAAAAAGTAGAAAACACAGGAAACAGAAGCGAAGTGTCATGTTTTTGGCAAAAGCAGCTTGGGTTTGTGCCAGCCCAGGTTCGCTCGTGAGTTTCTCCTTGAGAAGGGGTGGGAGCGCAATCGCAACAAGAAGGGAATCTTCTGGCGCTTTGTGGGCAAGGACTCTGAGCCGGGCTTGGGAACCAGCAGCAAGTGAAGACCTAAATTTGGTCTTCAAGGATTCTGCGCCTTTTGTTGCGGAAGAGTAAGGCCGAATTGGAAACTTAACTTCCTGTTTGAAATCATAAGTTTGTTCTTTTAGACTGTATAGACTACATAAAAAAAAGTATTTAATTTTATAGACTTATACCGTACTTACTGTACTTATACTTTATACTTATACTGTATCTGACTTATATTAGACATCTATTGGTTGTATTCTGGAAACATGAGGGTTCTTTTCGTTTTCAGCTTGGAAGAGAATTGGCCTGAAAACCGTGCTCTCCAGAATGGCAGAGTCCATGAATGGAAGCTAGAACTGTTGCTGAAAATGACACTGACTACATCAGTCAGAGTCAGCCGTATTTGAAATTCAGCTGAAATGGTAGGACTTATGCCCCGATGATTAGTGCCGGGGATGCCCCGATGATTAGTACCGGGGAGACATTAGGACAAGATGAGCAAGTGCGAGAAATTGCTAGTCTCGTCGATCCAAGTTGTTTTTCTCACATTTTCTTTGCATCGAGAGAATCCTATTTGAGAATTTCAGAATATTTGAGAATCTTTTTGACATGTGACATTGATTCTCACTGAAGCCACATGAAACATACGAATGTGGAAAAACAGAAACGAAAGACTGTTCAACTCAAGCGTTAGAAACGAGACAGTGTTTTGTTCCTTTGTGTTCTCATGTTTCTTGTGATCGAGCCTATCAATCCTAACATCTATAATTTCACGGACGATATTGTTACTCACTTGATTGCTCTCCTGTCTCATTTGCTGTCGACATTGACATTGGCATTGGCAATATTGTCTATGTTACCTATTTGCAGCATTTAGTTGTTCCTTAGCACAATCAAAAAGAGGTTTTTTGACCCACCAGTGGTCAATTGAAATCCGATCGGCTGTTAGATGCCGCCAAAGAATCAGAATGCCTCTCACTGCACATGTAAGTACTGTGGGCGATCCAACCAGGACACACCGAACCCTTGGTTGCCCCCAGAGCTTAGAGAGCAGTCGGGAAAAGCATTTCTCCAGTTCAGACGTGAGAGGGGAAAGGAATGTACTTCCTGTTGTGCTTTGATTCGTTCCAAAAAGCGTGACTTCTACGACGACCCTGATCTAGAGATTAGTCTGCAGAATGACCAGCGGAAAAAAGATACCTTTCAGAGTGACTTGGAAGAATTCGAAGCCAAGAAACGAGACGATTTCACAGCCAAGAGCAATAGAATTCCAGCCAAGAGAGTTGAGGCGTCACACTCGACAGGTTTCAAAATGAGAATGGTCATGGGCTATTTTTGGCCTATAGACGTGTTGAGAAGAGAACGGAAAGAGATACCAAAAACACTTACCACCATTACCTACAATGGTCGCAACTTGAGGGGAATCATCCTGGACAGCAGTCATGGCACGCCAATTGGTGTCATTGAAATGGAGAGCTACGATGACAAGACAGCTTCAAAGGTTACTTTACTTTACAAGTTTGTTTCAGGGGCAAACTACATTTCGTACGAGTTCACATGCTGATGATTCACTGTGACTATGACCATGCAATGTAGTTTCACGTTTGTGTAAACACTGATTCATTTTTGCTGACCTTTAACCAACACGGTCTTTCCAAGATTCAGTTTCGATAGGGAACGGCATCAACAAATGGAGTTAAACTTATCATGTAATTTGTATGGTGATACCGATACCCAAAAAAAACAATCATGATAACAAATGTTACAAATAAAATACAATGTAATCTATATAAGTAATAATATTAAATTATAATATATTATATTTATTATTAATAATAATATGATATGATGATATGATATGCTTATAAATTATAACACATTATAATTATAATTATAATATAATAATATAATATATATATAGAATTGCGTTACTTGAGTAATATCAAAAATATCATTGATGAATCATACTACCAACAATATCAACAATATCAACACTAGTCTATCGACTATCAATGAATGAATCATACCAATATCAAAAGTTCAAGTAGAACCGGAGAAAAAAAACAATATACAAAAAACATTTGTACAAATAAATATAATATATAATATAATATTGGCAGTGGCCAATTGCCAATTGCCAGTTTCTGATATGTGATGAATTTGAACATAATACCCACCATAACTTAAAATAACAACTATAATAAGTGTTGATAAGCTTAATACGAATACATACTCACATACTATACTACAAAAATCAATCATTTTAATATATAATTTTAATTTTATTGTTAAAAAACATACTAGACTATATTATATAATACTTCAAATAACTTACTAATTAATAGTAAAATAAACAATTGTATTAAATTATATGAATGGAATGACAATCAAACACATATCAATGTCACTACAATAATATCAACAATCATTCATATAACATATGATATGCATACTGCATAATATATATTATTATATTATTATTATATAATTATATAATTATATAATAATATATAATAATTATTATTATATAATAATTATATATTTAATGAATACATAATAACAACAATAAATTAATTCAATAATTTAATATAATTTGATATATATTATTATATAACAATATAATAAAATGTAATATAATAAAAAATGAAATCATAATATAATAAATGATATATTATCAAATATAAAATTTTAAAATATAATTACTATGATATTATATATAATATATAATATAACTAACAATTAACTTAATATATAAAGAATACAACACATATGATGATAATATTTATATAAATTAGAATTTGATTACTATAATTCTGTGATATGTACTAATAACTAATAACACTTAACTAATAAACCAAAAATGAATTGACATAACTTTGACTTTAATAGATAAATAAATAATAATAATGATTTAATCATAAAATATCATACATCAAATATCATAACAGGACTACTACAATTTTAATTCGATGATGTATCTGTATCTATCATTATACAATTATTATTATTATATTACTTATTTATTATATTTAATATTATATTAAATTATATATATTAAAAAAAACATACAATATAATTTACAGTAAACAAAACATAATACACTACCATGTTCAATAGCCAATACCGTACCCAATAGTCTTAGTCAAATATTGGTCAATAGTCGTCTGTAGTCAATAGTTTTTAAGATCGACTAAGATAGTCAAAGATTATTGTATTAATTATATAATGATATTTATATTATATATATAATTTAATAATATTATAAATTATATAATATATATAATAATTTATATATCATTATCATAATATATATATATATATGCTAAAGCATGTCATTATACAAGACAATATTTACCATATAGCATGCAGCATACTATATTATTATTGTTATTATTGATTATGGGGTGTCCTGCAGTAGTGATCGGCCGAGGTTGCTACACTACAGGAGGGTGACGAGGATGAGGACACGGGGGAGATATGGCAAAAGTGTCAGGAACGCATGAGCCTGAAGAACATCAATTCAGATGAGCATGGCAACGTCAGCCTTGCTTGGCAGTCAGTTGGTCCAACCTGTGATGAAGGAATGAACCTGTTGGATGATATCTGGGAAACCAGAATGCCTGCAGCTACTTGCAAAGGAAATGCTGCTGCTAGGAAGAGAGCTTTGGCTGATGATGAGGAACCCGTGGCAAAGAGATCGAAGCCGTCAAGTGGATTGAGCAGCAGTGGGGATGCGCAACCAGCCAAAAAAGGCAGAGCTGCTACCTCTGGCTCAGGCAAAACTACTGCTGCGTCTTTGATTCGAAGTTTGAACGGGTGTGACTCATTGTTGCTTGAGGCTCAACAGAACCTTGCCATGTTTGGAGAGGATGACACAATGAATGCCATCGCCATTGTTACCATCACCAAACTCATTGACAAAGTTGAGTCCAAGTTGACCGCCCAGTCAGTTGATGTTTTGACTCAAGGATGGGAAGCAGGACAACCTGAAAACCGGGGTACTGCTCTTGTGGAAAAAATGAAATCTATGGCAAGCTCCCTTCAATTGGCGAAGACTCTGGCGATTTGCTTGCAAGCAAAATCCGGAACTGAGGACTGGTGGGGTTACGGGAACAAAAGACAGGTAGGATAGGTAGAGACAATCAAAGTTTCTCCGTGAATGTGTATTTATATAAATTAAATCAAATCATATCATCACTTATATCTATCATATCATAACGATATGACGATATATTCTACAGTATATAGTGCATATTACTGACATCATATAAACTATTGAGCAAAAAATGTTTGTGTCAATGTATGTCTATATCATCTAGGTCTACAGTCTATAGTTTATAATTTATAGTCTATATACCGTAGTCTATATTGATTACATCAATTCTATCAACTGTATTTATTGTATAGTACAGTATAGTCTAGTATAGCATAGCATAGCATAGTATAGTATAGTATAGTCCAGTCTATTCATTACAATTGTAGTCCACCTGTAGTCATGGTAGTCCACAGTATCGAATCTTCTAGTTAAGGGGGAAGAGAAAACGCATGACTCGTCACATTGACTTTTATGAAGCCAACAAACACAATCTAATTTCTATCAAAAAACAAATGATAAGGTTCCATTCATCCAGTCGACAGAGGGGTCAAGTCTTCCTATTTATTGCCCTAGACACGTACCTACAGAATCAGTGCAGATTATTTCAGGCAGATTATACTCCAACTATGTTCAAGTTGGGTATGTGAATCTGAATGTGCGTGTGTGTGTGTGTGTCTAAAACCTGCTTGCATCAGGACTACTCTCACTCCAAGCTGGATGATGCCATTTCCAAGATGATTGGGGCTGGCTTGAAGGTCTCCGCAATTGCCTGGAACGTCTCTTTCATGCGGCAAACTGCCGTGCCCATGGAGTCAGGAGAATGGGATGCTTGGTTTGAAGCCATGGATTCTGGGCATCCCAGGCTAGATGATGGAGTGTTGGGCAAGCTTCGTTGCACTTGCACAGTCAGGGCAGTTCAGTTCATTCTTGAGTCTGCACCCGATCGGAAGGAACAGTGCCAAGACGCATGGCGTGCCATAGTTGATTTGCTTGCAAAGGTCTCAGCCTGTGGATGGTTTGAGAAATGTGATGCTCCATTTCAGGAAGAGGTCCAAGGTCTTCGTGCAATGTCAGTCGTTGGAACTGAGATGCATCACTCTAGTGCCGAGAATCGGGGGCTTGCCGAGACTTTCAGAAAAAAGACTCAATCACCTGCCAAACTCACCATGCACTTTGGTAAGGTGTTGGCCCAGTCGCCTGCCGGCTTGCAACTGAGTGCTGCTCTATGTGAGGTGTTGGCTGCTCAAGAAAAGCTTTCAGGTTGGGAGGATGATTTGAAGGGAGCTATGGAAGTTCACCGTCTACTACCAGACTTTGTCCAAGATGGTTTCTTGACCAAGGACTTTGACATCGTCGTTCCGATGGCGGCAAAGGTTGGGGAGATTCAATCAAAGCTAGCATCCTTGTTGTCAGCCAGCACTGACAAGTTCCAGTCAGACAACAAGAAAGACATTGATTTGCTGAAGGAATTGCAAATCAAGATCGCTGGCATGATCAGGGAAGCATTAAGTAGGCGAGTGTTTCACAAAGTTCCGTCCTTGGCAGCTGCCATTCAGTGGTGTGTCAATGGCTGTGTCATGCAGCCAAATGCGTCCAATGCGGACTGGGATTGTCATGTGAACGCAATTATCGCTGCCAAGTCCATGGTGGTTCCCAGGACCCAATTTGCAAAGCATGTGGGTCCTGATTTGGCAAAATCGTTAGGTGAATTCGCTTCCGACTTTTCCAAGTTTCTGACTGCAGCAGAGCAGTTTTGTTGTTGGCTGAAAGATTCCCAGGATGGCAAGAACTCAGAGAGCCTGAGTGTTTTCCAAGCAGAAGCATTCGTGGAGTTTACCAAATACTTCCACCCAGTGTCCGCCGATGGTGGCTTGTTCACTTTTGCTTTCACCGAGATCCATCCTGATGGCCCTTCTTGGGCACGGGAAATGAAATCATGGCTATCGACATGGAGTCAACAGCGTGTGAGTGCCAAGCTATCTTCTTGCAAGAACTTTGTGGGTTTAGTTTTGCAAGATGGGATTAGCGCTAGTGAAATCTGCCTTGAGTCTGTGACCGGTTCTGTAGACGGGGATGAAGAGCCAGCTAGTATCCGCTCAAGCAACCGAGAGCTTTCCAGTGTTGCTTGCACTGTTTGCTTTCATGCGGATTTGAAGCACGAATTTGACTTTGGTGACACCAAAGTTGACTTGCAGAGTTTGTGTGCGGCCAGCATTTACTTGCCCTGTGCCCGCTACACAGCATCCGTGCGAGTTGTCAGTGAGAAAATGTTGACTTCTTCGACCCTCATGCAGTCCCAGAATGTTGAGGATATGAAACAGCCTGGAGTGAGCAGAACAGAAAGTGCTGCCAATTTGATGACGGTGCTGAAACGGTGGACTCAGGCAGGGAATTGGGGGGCCCCTTGTTCAAAACACACTTGATGTTCACCAGCTTTTTGAAACGACGTTTGCAAAAGAAATGATTTAAAATGAACTATGGGCTAGTCCATGGTCCATCGTAGTCTATCAGAATCAGAACTAGTCTAGTTTTGCACAGTTTAGGCAAATTACTCAGAATTACTGTACTCAACAAGAAGGATGTGACAATAGTTCTGGTCATATGAGTCCTACCAAGTCATATCTCATAACTTCATGTGTACACACATGACAGGAAAATCAATGTCACAAAAACACATAACATAACATATCATATGTTACATGTTGAAACCATGTATGACACAAGATATGATGCAATAATAATACTATAACTATTTAATAAATTATATAATATAATAATAATATAATTAAATAATAATATATAATTATATAATAATATAATAATATACATATATAATATAATATAATATAATAATATAATATATAATATATGTTAATAATATAATACATATTATATAATTATATAATGATAGTGATAATAAGCATATGATATGTTAAATGATATATGATATAGTAGTTTCATGATATATATAATTATAATAATATATATATATATAAATTATACATATTATTTTATATATTTATATTATATTATATGTTCGATATTGTGATATGATTCAAAAAGTTGATATCATAAAATGTGTAAATATAATATAATAATTTAATAGAATTCAATATAGATGGAACCACTTGATATTATGTGTAGAATATATCTTCTATCACATCATGTGTATTGAACCTACAGCCAGGCCATACATGTAACATGTAACATGTAACATGCAACATGAAACATGTAACATGTAACATTTATCATATTATCACATCATACTATATTAGAATATAAATTATATTATATTATATTATAATATAAAATATATTATATATATATTATATTATTATATTATATATATATTATATATTAAATTATATAATTATATAATATAATACGATAATTAATATGTTGATAATAAATCAATACTATGATTTAATATAAATCAAATATAATATTTATATATTATAAAAGATATTGACATATTTTATATATTATAAATTATAATAATATTAAAATTACTTTTACATATCGTATCATATAATTATAATGAATAATATAATTATTATATAAACTTATGATTATTAATTATTATACATTATATGATGAATATGATGATGTTAATATTTTAATAAAATTTAATATAATATATAAATATATAATATATATTATTGTTCGTTACAGTACTAAGTGAATGACTGTTCGACGCGCGTGTCGCACCACACCACATCACATCACATATCTATATTAAATTATATTATATTTATATTCTATTAAATATAAATTATATTCAAATGCATACCATACACACCATACACACCATACACACCATACACACCATACACACCATACATACACATTCAAGTAATACAGTACATAGAGTACGACCAAACCATACCATTATCATAACCAGACCATACAATACCGTACCATAAATGCCGTATGTCTTTCAGTCACATCACATTTTTTCACAACGTTTCATTAAATCATAGATTCGTTCATTCAGATTCATATCATAACTCATGACTCAGAACTCAAAACAGAATCATACCGTACCATATCAAATGAGATCACTATACTAACCATTACCACCTCAGATCACAAATAACAATTGACAATAATTTACAAAGGGTATGTAATACACACGGAAGAGGTATATAAAAACTGCTGTCGTTTTTTGGTGCTTCAGGTGTGTGAAGATTGCCGCATCGTGCTGTGGGCATTAGATGCCTCCAAGATCAAGATCGTTCAGGCCAAGTTCACAGAGAGTGTGAGCTTAGCAGAGTCACAAACAATTGCTTGCATTGAAGCAATGCATGAAGAGCTCGTTTTCTTGAATCGCAACATGTCTGACATGCTTGCATCGGATATCCTCAAACATGTGGTGTCAAGTGATCTCGAAGAAGATCATGGATCAAGACCATGCCAAGAAGCTTTACAAAGAAAATACAACTTCTCCAGATGCTACAAAGTTCTATGTCACTTTCAACAAGACCCGTGCGTTGAAGAATTTAGCTGAGAAGTTTGTAAAAGATGCTGAGGATCTTTTTGATCAAGCTAGTTCGAAAGCCATGTGTCCAGCTGCATTCAAAGCAGTGACCGTGTGCAAAGAGGGACTAGGAAAACTCGAGGATGATATGGAATCGCCTCGAAAGGCAATTGCCAACCTTACTTGTTTAACATCTTTGTTTCGCCCCTTGCAAACAGGTGAGACTAGAAACTTGCTCGCCAACAAAGCTTTGAAGGGGTTTATTGCAATGAAGTTTAAGCCCTCCAAGGGTTTTTTGCGGGTACTGTCTCAACATGCGACACCCGACATGATGACAACATTCTTAAAGGTTTACAATGCTGGAAAGTGAGAGATCCCTGACGATAGATTTGAGATCTGTAGGGTATGTAGCCTACTACTGTTCGTAGACCCTACATTCTGCACTTCAAAATTATTCCAGAAAATAATAGACTTATAAACTTATAGACGACTTATAATAGACTTATAGAATCTCATAGATCCATCAACTATCATTACTATCGACTGTCGACTACCACAACTTACCTATTTATTGTTTTCATTGGGTGACTTTCACAACAGCATCATTGATGTTGAAGAAGCGTCAAGCGTTTGCTTCGGCATGTGGGATTCGCGGCGCAGTGGGAAAGACCACACAATCCAAGAAGCTGGAAAAACAAAAAGAACCTGCTGACTGGGTGTATTTTCTCAGAAACTCTCAACGAATTCTCCACGAATTCTTAACGAATTCTTAACGAATCGTTCAACGAAATTTTTAGTGGCAAAATGTGTGGCAAAATGTGTGGCAAAATGTGTGGCAAAATGTGTGGCAAAATGGATTGCCACAAGTTTTTTGCCATCATTGCCACAACCCCGTACTCGTTTATACAGGCCGCATTGCAAATCATGTAGAGCGGCATTGCAATATATAGGCATATTGAAAAGCACATCAGCCCCAAAGTTGGTCAATCAGAGAGAATGTGATTCAAAAGTAAGTTATTAATAGTGATCACTATTAATCACTATTAATCACTATTAATCAAAGTTGGTCAATCAGCCCCAAAGTTGTCAGAAGAAACTCAAGTTGAGACGACGTCTGATTAGATCCAATGCACATCCAACCTGCTGCTTGGTTGCCTCCAGACGTGCTGAGGATTTTCTATGTGCCCCGCACAGCTGTAGAACGTGACACGGCCAGAAGTTGATTGGACAAGTGTGGGATATGAATGGATAAAATATGTTCATATTGTCAGATCAAAGATGACTACTGTTGTTGGTTGAAAACTTGCACTCTGCGGAATGATGTTGGGATGGGTTGATCCAGAGTGTGTCCAAACATGTTTCATTGTTAAATCGTTTAAACATGTTTAGAGCAATGACCCCCCAAAACGTTTAAACGTTTAAACGTTTAAACATAATATGTGTTGTGTTTTTGTTTGAACATGTCCCAAGTGAGTGATGGAGGAAATAAGAACAGAAGAGCGAAACAGAAAGCACCAGGGTGATGTCACTATCATTCTGCAAGTGCGCATGATCCCAGGCGGTTGGATTCAGAATCGCTTGGAATTCACGTTTGGGTACCCTACTGCTCCGCATTGGATTAGTTACTTTTTTGGTTTAAACATCGTTTAAACTTTAACGAAACACATGTTTAAAGCGTTGAGTCACCAAGCCATGGCCGATCTCGCCTGGTTTGACACCATTGATCACATATGATCACAGGGGATCATGCAGTGACCATAGCTGCCATAGCTGCCATAGCTGGAAAGAAAGCTCACCAACAAGGTCCTACCATAGGCATCTCACGATGGGGTTATCAACATTTATCAACTAGTTTGGTAATACTCCAGCGCTGAAAAAAATCAGTGAATCGTCATGTTCGCAGTAATATTTTTCCAGAATCATTCCAAGAATCATTCCAAGAATCATCATCTTCGCAGATGTTCCATGATTTTCCATTGATTTTCCATTGATTTTTCCAGATTTTCCATTGGTGAATCAATTTGCGAATCCATTTTCGGCGATCCTATGGCGACTTTTTCCATCCCAGGGGCGCTCATTTCCTGCCGGGGCAACTTGGCGGGGGAAGGGGGATAGCCAACCATGATTCACCACGGCATTTTGGAGCTGATTTCCACACCCAATTGTAACATAAACAAAAACGCACACAGAATCACAGATCAAAAAAAAATGTAACGCCAGACACCGCTCAGTCGCAAAAGCTGTCATGCCACTGCCAGACTTTTTGCCAATTTCGGATCACGTGTCACCATGAATGCGACCTGTCGAGAAATCCCGGGCAGCAGCTCCTATTTTTCAGCTCTCGAGACCTGAAATACATTTACTCCCCTGACTCCGCTTCCATGGCGCGGGTCTGTGCACTTTTGGTTGCCATGGCCACCATGGCCGCAGGCGAAGACTGTGAGACTTGCGACGGTGCCGCGATGCTTCAGACTCAGGGCAAAATCACCACCGATGAATCAACATCGACATTGCGCAATTGTGCTGCATTATTGGAGGACATTAGGGAAAACTATGGAAACTTAAAACCCTGTGCCCGAGACAATTTCATCATAAAGTAGAAAAACATAGAAAAACATCATCATATATTCCCATATATTCCCATGTTTTATTGATCATATCCCCATTTCTTGGTGGTCAAATTTCAGTTTTCTGTTCACATGTCCATTTTTTGCTGCTTAAATTCCAATTTTTGGTTGGAGATCATTTACCAACTTTGGGATCTCGTTGGTTATCCCCCTTCCATTCCCCTCCCCTTTTCAATTTTGGGTCAACGAGTCAACATCCTCCGTTTTGTTTCAACGGTCAGAACGAAGACTGTGACTTCGAGACGGAGCCGAAAGCCCAGTTCCACTGCGAGGTGGAGCATGCCTCGCGCATGGTCTATGCCACCTGGGTGAGGCCCGGCGCCAAGGTCTTGGAGGTTGGAGCGCGCTATGGCCATGCCACCTGCATGTTGTCCAAAGTCCTGGGTTTGGACGAAGAGGACAGGGCTGGTTGAAGATGTGAGGGGTTAAGAAATGTAAAGTTCAATAGAAGCCATGTTGTTTTGGGATTTTAGGATATTCCATCCAGGCGATTGGCACTAGTAAAATTGATGAGTTACCCTCTTCGTTTACCCTCTTCCCCCCGCAGTTTTTGGGGTGTCGGGCGCAACGTAGGAAGCTGGAACGGTAAAGTTCAATAGCCTCGACACAGACTCGAAGCAGACTTCCGGCGCCAAGTTGGTTTCGTCCGACGCGGATCCACACATCTGGGACGTCTTGGAAGGCAATTTGGCGAAGAAGGGCTGCAATGCTCAAGTGGTGCGGGGAACCGTCGGCTCCAAGAGCTTCAAATTGGTCACTCCAACTTGGATGAAGAGGGATCGAAATGCAACAGGCTATAGTGCTTTCACCTCCAACGCCAATGACCCACGCCCCGGAGTCGTGGTCCCAGCACACTCCGTGAAGTCTCTCAATGTGACCTTTGACACTTTGGCCATCGATTGCGAGGGATGTTTCAAGACCTTTTTGAAGGAGAAGCGGTGAGATGACACAGCATGTCTGTCAAGCATTGTTAATGATTCAGATGTGAAATTCCAGTCGGACTGGGTTGGTTGTTATGCTTTTGACATTCTTTCCCAAATTTGGGTTTGTCTGAAAATACGGGAGGCTATACCCACGCTGCTTGATCATCATCCTAATCAAGATGGTCATACTTTGGAGATAAATCCTCCATTTTCTAGACACTCCCCGTTTCTTGTCCATGTTTCAAAGACTCGATTTGCCTCAACAGGAGAATCCCGATTTGTTGAAGACTCTCACGATGATTATTGTGGAAGTCCATCCCGGTGCCTTTGTGAAAAAGAAGAACCATAAACATACGAAAGAAGAGAAAGTGGTGGACCAGCTGATGAAGCAGGGATGGACATTGAAGCACTCCATCATGGATCAACGAGTTCTCTGCAGAGGACCTTGTGAACCCCGCTGCGACTTGAACTGGCTGGAGAACCATGCTCGCGAATACTATGGAAACCAGTACTTCTAATATTGCGGGTCTTGCCTGAGGACTTCACAAAAGTGCCGAAAAAAGTGCGAAAGCGCACCAAACACGTGGGTCCAAAAATCCCAGGAGGGACACACAAACTCGGTTGGACAGACTTTACCCATCAAGCTAAAACCATACGTTTTGTGGATAGATTCTCAATTGTTCTGTCCCCAAACTCTCTCTTTTGTGACTTCACCTTCCATTTTGATCCATTTTGATCCATTTTGATTGGTCTAATTCCATGAAAGTTGAGCTTGATCCCCACTAGATCCCTACAAAAACCACCATGTTACCATGTGTCTGTTGGAAACCCACCATTTTTGTTGGGACCTATTGGGACCTCCAAGGAGTTTCGAGGGTCGCGACGATGAGCCTCCTGACCCGGACCAGGGCGGTGGTGGCACAGACGTGGCGACGCCTTTCAGCGCCTCGGTTGCCGGGAGATCTGGTCCAATCGATAGCTTCAAAATCTGGTTGGTGGTTTGAAACATTGTTTTTTTATTTTTCCATAATATATGGGATAATCCTTCCCAACTGACTTTCATATTTTTCAGAGGGGTAGGTATACCACCAACCAGAAATGCTAAAAGGATCATCTTTGGGGATGTTTGGGAATTTAATTGAGTGATTTATAAGATGACTTAACTATTTAACCATCCAAAAGTGGGAATATCATTGATCTAAGATATTTGGGGATGTCGCAAAACCAAAATTGGGAAGATCATTGATCTAAGATTGGGTACAGTAAAGAACACATGATTAGTTATAAGTAATTAAGTGGCTGGTGGGGTCAAACATTTTTGTATGCTCAACCTTACCTAGGATGATGATCCCTCATTGAGTATTTTTTGTCGACGGGTTGTTTTCACAACTAGTTGGATTTGGGGATGAGCCCAGGCCATTTATGGGACCTTTGATCTATTTTAATAGGTTGAGCAGCAGTGCCCAAGCATGCCCAAGCCCAAATATGATATATATATGATATATTATATATGTTTGTTTAAAAAGTGGGGGGTAAACTATACCTTTACTTTTACAGGGATAATCATTAATGACCCACTAATGCATCTATGGGAACCGATACGAAACAGCCAGCACAATAGATGATGCCCATTGGCACCGGGCCTTTCGCTTTTTTTGGGTCAAGGCGACAAGCCGATGGCAATGGCATTGCAGTTGTGCCTTAGTTCTAAGGACCACAACATCTCTTGTTTTTTGTCATCGCTTTGCTGGGAAATAGGGTATCTCTTTTCCAGGTCATTCAAGCCTTGGGGGTTGCGTTTCTTGAGTCTGTGAAAAAACCCATCAAAACTGGTAACATGGGAAAAGTGCCTCAGGTCTCATCAATCAGAGAAGATCTGTATTTGAAACCCTAATTGATAATAATATATTGATTGATCATGATTGGTCATATATTCGTCATGGATTCATCATCATTAATCATTATATATTCATGATATATTGATCATATAATATGATCATGTAATCTTGAGTTACTGCAATTTACTTTTTTTCCACGGTTGTTGACCTCGTAAGTGGCTCGTTAAAAAGCGGGCTTTGACGTAAGTGGCTCGTCAAGGTGTGAAGTGGAGTGCCGAATGGAAGACCATGCACGACATCCATCAGCTTCAGAAGGTGCCTATAACGGGGACCTTCGCGATATGGGCGAAGACACAGCTGGTTGGTGGTTTTAATGGGTTATATAAATATCTATGGTTAAAAACATGGTACTGTAAATTATGGTTCGTGATCAATATGGGTTACTGCTTGGTGGTTTGGAACATGATTTTTATGACTTTCCATAGATTGGGAAGAATAATCCCAACTGACTTTCATACTTTTCAGAGGGGCTGAAACCACCAACCAGATTGGATACACACAGTATAGTAACTAAAATTCTTTTGGGATGATGTGGATGAATTGTTTTGATGGATTATGATTAATGTACGGAACTCTAATTTTGGGATGATATATATCTATATATTATCAATATCTATAAATGGATTAATAATGATTAACATATGGAACTATTTTTTGGGGATGATGTGGATTATATATATATAATATCTGGAACTCTTCTTTTTTTGGATGGGAAATCAATTTGCCAGAGCAGTTTCAGAAACCCCTGGCTGATAATTGGGGGTTCACTCTACCAAACATATTGATCATATTGTGGAGTGTCATGATCCATCATTGGGTTCCTCAATATACCCTCTGGTATATTAACATAGTCCCTGGCAGATAGGGATTGGAAGACTAGTTTCCATTAACTGCTGATTTTCAGGGTCTATGTGAACTTACCAGGGGGTATGTTTGGTAGTATAACTCCCCAATATAATATCCAATAGGGAAAGTTATATCCTCCATGAAATGTGCTGGGGATTCATGGGAATATAATTCATACCATCATTGGGTTCCTCAATAAAAGCGACAACTACTTTCGCGATGTTCCAAGAGGCTTTCGCTCACCCGACCAAACTTTCTCAGGAGACGCTTTCATGTGGGAGGGAACGCATGCTTTATCGATGGGCTGTTGGTGCTGTTTCCCACGCTTCAATCATGTGGAGAGGGTTTTTTAGTTGACCGCAGTGAGATGATGGAGACCATGGTTGAGAGACTGGCTATGCTGGGGCAAAGAATTTTATCAGACAATTTTGGGTTTAGGGTGCTACAAAAAGTTGAATACTGTAATCTACTGTATATAACCAGGCCAGGCCAGGGTTTCGATTCGGCAGGTAGCAGGACCCATGACAAAGCTGGGCTGGCTCTTTGCCGGAGTTCCGAAGCATCAATGGGCCGGGGACGTCGGGAGTTGGCAGAGGTGAGTCAACGTTGACAGCCAACCTTGGTAGATTCAACATGATTCAACATCCCAAAACCTTCCAAAAATTATGTGTATTCAGTGTATTCTCTTCCTTTTTGGGGTGGGAACAGAAGGGTCCTAAAGGGTTTTGACAAAAATTTTGACGCATAGTTGGGAAGTTGATTGCGGACGCGGAAGTTCTGGAAAGCGGAAAAAATCTGTGGTTCCAAATGCTAACTTGCACAGGTCTTGCGTTTAATCTTCGGGGCTTGTAGCTGATACCCCAAAACTCCTGTGCAGGATCAATCAGGAAGCCCTGCCGCACTGCAGGATTCAAGTCTCGTAGTGCAAATTCCAGGGTGGCATGATGTTCTCATGCGGGGAAACAAAATTCAAACGCAGAACATGTTGCTTTTCAAGCATTTCCAGTGAAACTAAACCAACTTTAGTCTTCTTGCGCTAGAGGATTGTCAGTCTAGCAGTTTCTTACACCAGAGTTTCTTGCACCTGGTTGAGGGCCTGTTTGAAGGTTGTCAATGATAGTCAAAGAAAGCCATGGCCGCGAGTCAGTAGTTCCAAATGCTGTTGATGACTGGAAGATTATAATGTTGCCCCAAGGAACTGGCATGTTTATAGGTTGCGCTCCAGTGATCGCACGCCAACGTCTGACAAATTTCATATATCATCACGACAGCCACCAAAGCTGGACGCTGTGCACCGGTTCATATCAGCTGCTTGAAACTATCTGATGGGTTCATCTGGCCTAGCTGCTGGGCTTGAGAATGGGAGTTACTTCAAGGGGATTCACCATGACCATTTGTCACTCTGCCTGTGCCCCAGCCCCTTAGGTTGCAGTGGGCGTTGGCATCTCTTATTCTCCTGCCATGCTGATGCAGTACGTCCGGTGATCCCTGCATTGATTGGAGCAGCTGGGGCACATGGCCATAAACCTACTATTTGGGCACGGGTTTCTACGGCCCATTTATGGTGATTTTGGGGATGGTTCATTATTGGGTCTGACATACTATGCAACGTCAATGTAAAAGATTTGGCCAAATTTGATGTTACCCCCTTGTATCCCAGTTAATTACAGTGACATACAGTTTATAAATCCGGCAGGGAAAAGATTGAAATATCATGAACATTCATGAACTATGCCAACGCCCAAACGGTGTATGGCTCAAGTCCTAGATTGGTATACAACTCTTCACATTAGATTGACAGTTGACTGGAACCCCGCTGTTCCACTGGCAAGGATGGAACTAAATGATCCAGTCAGGGCACCTCCTGACTGCCAGGGGGAAGAAGAAAAAGGGCGAGGAAGAGGAGGTTCGGTTCCCGATTACTTCAGGGAGATCGGACAGTATGGCTAGAAAAACCCAAAGGTGGCATTTTGGAAAGATAATAATATATGAAGTAGTGCTACTTCAATAATCTCAATATCTTCCGATATCTTCCCTTTTGGGGGGGCCTTAGCCTTTTCGCAACAGGCACTGTGGGACTTTTTTGAAATAATCATCAACCCTGCAGTGATGGCAACCACCATTGAACATGAATTCTCCAAGCTACTTTCTTATAGGAGACTATGTGCAACTATCATAAACCCTCATCAATAATTCATCCATCCTAACCAATTTGATTTACCTGTGGATCGACAGTCAACATGCTGTTTCGCTTCGCTCCCGTCTGCTGACCATTTTTGGGGCGAATCCCCGCTGATGTGGTAAACTCCAATAATAAACCCACAAGTTTAGCAGACATTGAAAGCTATCCCCAGAGGCCAGGGGCTCTGCGACTCCCCCAACCCACCTGGGAGGTTCCCCCCGATGCCGCGGCGGCCCCAGCTGCCGCGCCTGCCGCGGCTGCCGCGCCTGCCGTGCCTGCCGCCAAAGCTGCGGCGGCGCCGGCGGCAGCCGAAGAGGCCGCGGCATGAGGCCGGAGGCTGGCTGCAGGACGGTCTCATCTCGGGAAACCCACTTCCAATCTGGGCCCCCAAAGGGAGCGGATCCGGCAGTGTAGGGTTTTCGAAGGGGGCATTGAATAAAATTTATAAAAGGGAGAAGGGACTGTGAGAATCAATCAAGCCAACATCATTGTTGTTGATGGCCATGGACGATGGAACTCCGCCGTCCTACGGTTTCTCCAAAGTGCAGCCGCTTTCTTTGTTCTAAAGGAACCTGAACTCAACCATCATGAAACAATCGCCCATGTTTACAAGCCAGCCATTTACATCCATTTGCATTGTTGCCAGGACCCATGCTTTCATGGGCTCCGCTCAAAAAAAAAGTGTGTGAGACCTCCACATATGATGGGTCAGAACTAACGTGACTTCCTGTAGATTCCCCCTTAAAGAATCCGGATTATTATGTGATCTTAGGGAAAAACAACCAACCGTTCAACCGTCGCCTGGATTCCTCTGACTTCTTAGCATGTCTAGCTGGATCTCTGCGCCATGCGAGCCTCCGCATCACAGCGTTCGCATGCGTTCGCTAGATGCCGCGAACAGCACAGCACAGCCAGAACTTCTATCAGAGTCTTGGAGTCATTCCTTGAGACATTGAGGACATGGGATTTGGCCATTGAGAAAGGAGGTAGAACCCACGGGAAATCCGGAAAAAAAAAACAAACACGCGGAATCTGTCTAGGCATGGACTGGGCAACCCCCAAAAATGGGTAAACATGTTACATACTCGACATATCTAGTTGGATGCAAGAATCCTCCGACCAAAGCACCCTAGACTTGAATAAGCAGAAAAGCACACAGTGCTGGATAGACATCCTGGCAAGGACATCCTGCTTAGATCATTTTAGATATGAATTGTACTGAAACTCTGTGGATCTGCGTAGAGATCCACCAGCCACCAGCTGTCAGGATTTTGGGCGTGGACGTGAACGCCAGCCCTGCAGAGATCCGCGCCGCTTACAGGCGGAAAGCCTTGGAGGTGCACCCTGACGCCCGGATGTTTTTGTTTTTTTCCGATGCCCTCCCAAAGATGACAATAGATGGTTAATAGTTAATAATTGGTTAATACATGTTAATACATGTTAATACATGTACACATCAGTACACCCTTATTGTGGGGGTCAGCTTTGCAGGGGCTGGCTGATTATCCATGATTTTTGGAAGATGTTTTTTTTTGATGTATAATGTGTTTCCGCATTGATGAACGTACCATGCCGTTGAGTTTCGACATGTTTTGAATATCTCATGGTGATGCTTGATTTTCTCACTGATGGATGATGAGTTGTGAACCAATTTACGAAATCTACTGGGGAATGTGGTCTGTTCTGGTTTCCAAGAACTGGTCTTGAGGGTCTTCCAACTTGGATTGAAGATCCCAACAGACGAAGGCAACCACCAGCATTTGGGTTTGATCAAAAATAAACTAGATGGTAACTTTGGTAGTTTGATCCACACTCACCACTGGTAACTTTGATAGTTTTACATCAAACCACTGGTAACCTAAAGATCCCCACTCACCAGTCCTATGTTACCAGAGGGCATCACTCCTGGACCCTGGGACGACAGTAAGGACAAGGGAGGAACGGCGGCAGCCTTCCAGCGAGTGACGCTGGGCGGAGCGGTGGAATTCCATGGGAAAACGGAACCTGCAAAGGATCCTTGTTGGGTTTTCCACCACCAGCTGGAACTGAACACGGTTTGAAGAGGTCCAAATTCCAAAAAACGTGGGGACCACTACCTTAAAAATCCTGAAAACGACTACATTACCATCCCATCCTCACAACTGGGGCATGGCCCAAGGATTGCAGCCTTCGAGCAGCTGGCCGATCCCTCCCTTCGCCACACCCACGACCAGCGCCTGGCCCCGAAGCCCACGGCGGCGACAGCGCCAGCGCCCGGCGCGGGTCCGCCGCGCGCGGCGGCCAGGCGCCCCAGGGAGGAGCCGCGCAGGGCGAAGACAGGGCGGAAGAAGACAAACAAAGATGTGGAGAAAACCACTGGTGTCTTGGCAAACAAAGTTCAAGAATGTTACATGATGTTACAATATGGCTTATGTTACAATGTTGCGGGGTGAAACTCCAACATCTTAGATAATTTGGGATGTGTCGATTGAGTTTCTTGGGTGCGGTTTCGGGTGGGAGTCTTGTATATCTAGTATGATCTAGTGGTGCAAGCTAAAAATAGCACTTGCCGATCAAACGGTCTGGGGTAGGGCATCTTCTTGCTACTCCCAGCTTGGTGCCAGACACTGATACGTATGTCTTTGTGCACCATACTGTAGCTGCCATAGCAAAATGTATTCACATTATATTCACCACCATAGACAATTTGGATTCACTGGGGCCCTTCAGCAGGTCCAAATTTTGCGCAACATTTGATGTCGAGCCACCCAAGGCAAGCGCAAAGCCGCAAGCACATCATGTCCGCCGCAGAAGCCTTTGCGACTGGAAGCACCAGAGAGGGCACCGAGACAGCGCAGAAGAGCCCTGGTGGAACTGTTGAAAGGCGGTTATAAAACCCACGTTGGTTGATGGTTGTATATGGGTGTTGTGGGCTCACAAAAAGGATCATCTCAACTGTTTACAACTTATATATTTTTTCCGATCGGGGTATGATGCTCATTCAACAGCAGTGCGTCCCTCCGCAAGGGTCCATTGCAAGGGCTGCGGCAGATTTTTTCTCATGCCCGAAAGGACAGTGAAGGAGTGTTGCCACCGTTGGAATATCACCATAGGCTCGACTCATAGGTGTTACAGTATTGTCCTTGGTGCTCAGGAGCAACCAAACAGGAGATTGAGAAGAAGCGACTGACCGCAATCGTTGAATTGCTCAAGTGCATCTCCTCCTCAGATGCTGGGATTCGCCGGATTCGGTGTTCATGTTTCGCCATTTTTTGTGGCCCACGAGTTTTGAGGGCAATTTCATGCAATTTCAATGTTTTGTCTTGGGGCCTTACCAGATTTACCAGTGCCTAGGGCCAAGAACTCCCAAGTATAGTTGAGCCGGGGTACTGTTGCAGGAACGACGCCACATCTTCACACATCGCCTGTCACAAGAACAGCGGCTGGAACTGGAGTCGTTTATGCAATTGCAGCGCGACCGCGACAGCGACGGACATGATGCCCATGCTGGCCCTGAGCAATCTCAGCTGATTCCCCAGCGCCTGGGTACGTTTCAGACTCTTTATCATCCATGGCTTTCTTGAATGATCTCTAAATAATTGATCGTCATAATTAATTGTATAACATGTCATGATTCCCAGAAACGTCCAACTTTACCAATGCAGAGCACTTAAAGGGGCAACTTGAACTTTTCTGGCCAAAGCATAGAAACTTAACACACAAAGTTGGGAAAATCCTGCGAAAATCACTGTTTTTTTCCTTGGGAAAAATTGGGAACTGGTTGCTACAAAATCGGAACCTTTCACCAGGCGAAGGAAAATGGGGAACTTCCAATGTTGATAATTTGACAAGGATTTATAGTCTTTTTTTTTTAAATGTTTATTTGACATACCATCATATCCCCATCACTGTTGGTTTTTCACTCTCTTTTGAATTCGCCATTTTTGGAGTCCAACGCCACACACCCAACTTAGAGGACCCTGTCAGAAGAGCCACCGAGCCCTTCGGTTTTCGAGTCTGCCCAGCGACTGAGGGATCAGGCAGAACTGGGCCGGACATCTCAATCTTGGGAATACTAAAATCCCAGGGTTAAGGCCAGATTTCCACCTATTTTTGAGACTTTCTATTTTGAGACAGACAGTATGGAGCATGTTTGGCCTTTGTAGAGTTAATCAAAGACTAAGTTGGCGCATGCCAAGACCAAAGGTCCTTGTTGATGGAACTGTTTTGAATGAAGTTTTGTTTGGTTTTGAATGTACACGGGTTCAAACTTGGGTCTTAGATCCTTTGTGTGCTTGGATTGGTATCGAAGTTGACAGCCAACGCTGGTATCTGGCATCACACATCCTCCCATAGATGATTCCCCAGATCAATTGTTACAGCATGGCATAATCATCCTTAGATTCCCCAAATTTCAAGGGGGATGTATAGTATAGTCTCAGTTGATTTTTCATTGCGTAAACTGGGACTTGGCAGCTCTTCCTCATCCCCCGGGTCATCCTGATAGGTCCCTGATGCTTCCAGTGCTGTTTGGGCACCAATGGTGGCCCCACGGCGCCGGCGAAGGGACACTGGGCCTATCTGGGCCTGGGCGCGGATTTGGGGTGCAGAAATGGTGGATTTACTTTGGATTTAGCTGCAATTAATGGCTTCATGGGAATTTCATGGCAAATCATGGCAAGTTCATGAATTGGGATAATAATGACATATAATGACAATAAAATCATCATAACTATTGGGATTTTATTCAAGACCATCCCCCAATGATGTTGAGAAGTTGAGATGGCAAAATCAGCAACGGATGGACTGAGGAGCCTGAGGAGCCTGCAGCGCCCTGTCCTTCAGTGCAAAGCCCTGCCTTGCGGACGCGTCGCATTACAGGAGGAATCCACAAGGTGAGGTTTGATACCTTCCGGAAGAGACGCCTGTCAGCTGGGGGCGCGGATGGTCCTCGTGTTACACCGATTCTGGACATCGGAAGACATTGGAGACATTCTTCTTCGGTCATCAAAGAATCATAGACATATACAGGAATAAAACATAATAAACATAATAAAACAATATTTTATGTTGAATATGTCTAGAGTCTAGAGGCTGCTCTCGGGGGAAGTCAAGATAGTCCAAGTCGAGCTGAGGAAACAAGCCAAGATGCATGAATTTCCAGCACGAAATCATCAACACAGTTGGGTCGTAGTATTCCCTCATTCCCAATATAGGAAAGGAATGGAAAGGATGTACAAGGGACTAGTTTCAAATGTACATCTAGGGGTAGGAATAGACGTTGACTCTTAGCATTTGGCTCGTGTCGTTTACGACTGTTCCAAGGAGCTGAACAGAGCTTGTTCTACTGCGCCACCGTGTCGGTAGAAGGTTTGCGGATCAAGGCAGTTTGTGTTCGCACCCTGGAGGAAGCCATTGACATTCATCTTTTGATCGCAGCTCGGTGCGACCATGTGCCATGTTGATCATATTGGAGCAGAACATGGTAGAAACCCGATGGTTTCAGCCGTGGAACCCAAGTGTGGGTCTCAACTTGATGGAGAATTTGCTTTGTTTAGAGATGACAAATACATCAAACAGTTTTTTTTATATCTAACATGCATTTACTGTAGGTAGGTTTGGCTGCCAAGACTGGAGTTTCCAGACCCATTCTGCAACCCTTCTCTGTGCCACAGCATCTCTTTTTTCTTTGTGACGCATGGAAGTTGGTTCTCCCTTCACGGGGAAGACCAAGGTCGCCATTGCGGAATGCGTGCGGCGGAATTGCAGCAGTCGCATCAAGGACATGGCGTTCTGTGGATTGGATGGACATCCGTTGGTCAAACTTGGGAGGTACTGGTATCTTGACACAACAAAAGACATCCAATCAGGGCCCCTGCCCAATAAGCACACGAACCAAGAGGTCATATTTCCTATTAATTATTGCCCGTGCATTGGAGCGTCATTTTCTGGTGTTTTGTGCTTTGAGGGTTGTTTGTTTCCGTCCATTAACCTTGAAATCGACACCCAACCGTTTCTCAACAAGAAAGTTTGGGACCAGGTGACCAGCCTAGCACTGAGAATTTCAATGGAAACACAATAGAGTCCATAGAGATTCATAGAGTTTTTCGATTTCTCCTAGGGGTTTTCCTGAATGATACCCCCCTCAAAACTTCCATTTACAGGGGATTTCACATTGCCATGTTTGATGATATACCAGAATACCGGAGGGTACCGATTGGGATCTTCCCTAAACTCCCAGCTGCCCAGTCCCTCGGGGCTAAAGGACAAAATCCTGCAGAGCATCCACGAAGTGTCAGTGGAACATGCTGTGTGCGAGCAAGACTTGTCACTTGTTTGCATGCCAGTTGCTTTCATTATCCATTTATCGTCATGTTCCAAGATTACTATAGTGCTTCAGCAAGTATATTTACATTTTTTCTGGCTACATTCATTACATTACATTGCTTTACATCACATTACACTACAGTACATTGCCATGCATACATGCACTCCACATCATTGCACAAATTACATACGTACGATTCCGTACGTACAGATACATACGTAATTGATCAGAATTGATCATGATTGATCATAAGTGGTCATAAATTGATCAGAATCGTTTATATAGTACATATAAATATGACAATCCCAGTGACCCAGACGTCATAACTCATGATCCGATCACAACTCGTAGCCCCATTTCAACATTTTTCAGGACACATCCCATTGCACTTCTTTTTTTTCTGCAGGTCGCAGAAGCTGCGTTTTTACTTTGTCCTGGAGACAAGGCTTTGGATTGGTGTGCCACTGATGACTCCATGTGGCTTGGACGTGGTGCCAAGCCGTCAGTTGATGGCTTGATGCTGTCTGATAACCGCTCGCCTAACTGGGATCTGGTTCAAATTCTGACGGAACTCTTCGCTAAAAAATTGTTGGGATGGTAAAAGATGGTAAAAGTCTCACGAAAAATGGATAATATGAAAGATGGATGACACCTGTTAAACTGGTGCAAGCTGAACTATGAACCGTCTCAAGTTTACTGTCTAATCAGCATCACTGATTCTGCGGGTAGAGAGTGAACTGACGCACCAAATTCCATCACCAAGGTTACCGTGTTCGGAACCTTGATGAGTTTGATGAGGTGGCTCGGCAGTTGGTGGGTTGCTTGCTGATGTGCATACTCATAGAGCCAGGTGTACTATATGCATACAATTAAAATATATTAAAATCGCTTCCGACTTCCACCGTATATTTGCCGCAGAAGTTGCACCCAAGAGAGACATTATTTGGCTTGTTTGATCAGAAAATGTGTGGAAAGACAATACATAAATAATCATAAATGATCATTATAGCATATATCATATCATATATATATATATACATTATATTATCTACATTATCACATTTCATATGTCATATTTCATCTTGTCACATAGATGATTTCATATCATCATGTGTTCCAAGCCGCAATTTTGTACCAGGTGGTGCTCCGTTTCCAAGCGGCCCGCGGCAACGACAAGATCTTCACCGGCGCCGGACGCCATGGCATCCTGACGGCCCTGCCACACCGCGACGTGGAGCAGCGCTGGCACCAGATCCGCGACGTCTTTCTGGACGTCAAGGAACGGCGCGGCCAAAGTCGGAAGGACGCGGCTTGTGGAAGAGGTGGAAAATGGTGGGATGATGGTGGGGATATGTCAGTGTGATATATGAAAGAGGACTTTGGAGAAACTTTTCTTTTACTAGTTAATCTAATTATGTATTAGGTGTCCCATTATATGTTTCTTCCCGCCAATATTAAACATGTTATTTAAAAAAACCTACAACCATGGTGGATATAGGGGATTTACGCAAGATTTGGGGATCATACTTTCTGGTGTGTTTAATGTGAACGGGGGAATGAAAACATCCCAATACGAAAAAGATGAGTCTTATAGTCTTACTATCCACATTAAAATCTTCTAATATTAATTCAAGGGAGGTGTTTACAGTCATCTTCCATCATCTTCCCATTAATATCATTAATTAGGGGTTTTTTGGTGTCAAAATTTCAGACCTGGGGGGACCAATGGGGACCACAGATTTGAGCATGCATTGAAACCATTAATTCCCATTAAAGCCTGGGGGATGCCATATATAATATGTATATTTTTATTAGTACACCTGCTCTGGTAAACATACATAACTATGGAAAATCACCAATTATTGGGAAAATCTACCAGATCAATCATTTTCAATAGCTATGTTAGAGTACCGGAGGGTAAACCATTCACAATCGTTCATGTAGAATGGGGTACCTATTTTTGCACTGGCCAGGAGTGGATGGTCAAACTGGATCAGTACCTAGGCGGTGATACCAAGTTGCCCGGGGGACTAAGGTGTTTTTGAATGGATTTTTAGTGGTGTTCTGTGGTTTTAGATGGTTTTATACATGGTTTTATATCTTAGAATCACTAGATTGGTTTAGCTTTTTTTCTGGACACCTGGTTTGAAACACGATGAAGGGTATGGGTGTCCTGTCAGATGTCCATTGACTCAATCGCGTGCTGCAAGTATGGAAGAATATTAGATATTAGACAAAGAATCTATTTCTGATATCTTACATTAGATTTATATCAATAAAGTAGAGTCATAGAACAAAATGATGTCGTGCTATCAAGTTTGTGACTGCCATTTTTGACTTGCTAGCTGCTAGATGCTACAGAGAAGCATTCGGGAACCATCATGCCTCGTTTGCAATCGTGCCCAAACACGAGAAGATTTGGTCATTGGTTTCAGCCGCATTTGTTTCACATCTGTTTAGGCCTTGCAAATGTAACAGCTAAGTGGTTCCGACTCACCTTTGATGTAGATCACATGAAGTTTTACTCCCCATTAGGGTACATGAAAATTCCAGGCTTTCCGACCTCCCTTACCAGCGGTATTTTATCAACCGCTTCCCAATGCCCAAGGATGTACCAGCACCGGGCACCCGTCCGGGATGAACTCTGGCGTCGCTTCAACGAAACCAAGATGCGGCGCTGCGAGCGGGAACAGCGACGCTACGAGAAGTGGATGAAGCAACTGGAGGCGCCAGGGCTGAGATCATTGGTTGAAGATGTGTGGGGCTTCCATAAATGGCTAAGCATGGCTAAGCGCTCTCCTCGCCGGCAATCGCATGGCGCAAAAATTGCAAAACTTTTGGCAAAAAGTCAAAAAGTGTTCGACTTTTCGATTTTTTCGAGTTTTTCGACTTTTCGAGCCTAAATCTCCTGGCCTGTGACCTTTTCGACTTTTCGACTTCTCGAATTTTTCGACTTTTCGAATTTTTCGAGTTTTTCGACTTTCTTGGAGGTGCGGCCCTTCTTGTAACTAGTTGCAACGGTTGTTTGGGTTATAAGTCATGCAATAAGCCTGACAAGTCATGCAATAAGTCTAGCAAGTCAGCCAATAAGTCCAACAACTAAGAATAAGTAGGAAACCGACTTGTTAAGTAAGTATAATTACTTAGTAAGTGAGACACCTACTTGTCTCAATTATATCTAGTTAACGTTCAACTTGTATATAGTTGCTAGTTAATTACGGAGGACTTGTTCCACTTAACGTAACTAGAGCAAGCAAGCCTATAACTAGATAATGTCCTACTTAGTAAGTCGGACCGGTCCTACTTAGTAAGTAGGACCGGTCCCATTTAGTAAGTCACACCGGTTGGATTTAGTAAGGCCATGAACAGCAAAACATGGGTTGAGTTGCAAAAAAATGGTTGTGTAGTGGGAAATCATGCTGGACTATATTGTCACATGTTGAAAAACACAACGACGTAGCCACTAGTTTCAAGGAAGTTCGCGTTTTTCACGAGCAACCCTCTTGTTAGTTGAGACCAACGTTTAGCGTGCTATCGCCAAAACTTTCCGCGCCTGCTTCACTCAACGTATACTTTATTACTTGCGCATGCATCGCGCCAAACCTTTTTTCGTGGCGTTTACTTTACTGTATTGTTTCCAAAATGGATTGCCAATTCCTAGGAAAAACAATTTGCACCGATTTTTTGTTGTTGCAGGTTGTTGTCTTTTTTGAATGTAGGAAGGAAGAGGAAAAAATCCGCGATGGATATGTAATTGTATATGTACATTGGGCATGTTTATTGTGAATACTGTCCCCCACAGGAATTTTTAAACGATGATAAATGAAATTTAAATAGCAACCAGTAACAATTTAGGTGCTGCGAGGGCGGCTTTGAATGCTGGGGATTGAAAGGAAAGTACGGAATGTTTCAGAATGTGCCTTTGAAAGAAATATTTTGTGGACGGTAAAGTGGGCGATGGCTTTGCCAAGTTTTGTTTCGCTGCATGTATGCTGATTATCTCTACAAATCATTGTTCGCTGGATCATTGCATGCCCATGCATGTGTTCAGTCATTTTAGTTCTTGCTTACGCGAAGTAGATATATGATATATCTGTTTGTAAGCAGTCTGTTTGGCAGACTTGGAGCGCTGACAAAACCTGTTGGTTTGGACGTTTGACTGGACTTTGAACCATGAGGAAACGTTTGAAATGTCTTTCATATATGTGTTTGCGAACTAGTTTCAGTGAAAGAGAACACAAATTTGAGATTCGGTTTTTCGGTGAACCAACAACTGGAAGTTGATCTTTGCCCGCAGATACTCGATCAAGTTGGATGCATTGAAATTGGTACGCAGAGATCTGGCGCATTTCTTGGTATGGTCTCATTGGTTCAGCAAACAGCTAGAAACAGTTCGAGATTGTTTGGCCTGCGTGGAACTGCGTTGCACTGCAAAGAAGCAGTTGGGTCCACATAGTCAATACTTAGCGTGAAATGGTTCAACGATGCCCGTGATTTGCGCATTCTATACCCAGCCATGGCTTCTCCAGGATGTGAAGTCTGGGCCTATGCTGTGGTGGCGTCATGCTTTGATCAAGCATGGGGACTGCTCTGGGACGAACATTCCACCAGCTCTTTCCTGATGTTTTAATACCATTGGTTTGCGCATATATAATATATCCATGCATGGCACCTACACGCATGCCTGCGATTTTTTGGCCAAAGAAGCTGGGCCTTTAGATTCGCTTCTTGTGAAAGATGCATCTCTACACACTATCACTCTTATATATTGCGCAAGAAACTGTTCTTATGTTGCCCGAAGGCGGAAAAAGGCGCTGACGAACAAAGAGACGTTGCAAAGAGCCGATAAGGGCAAGACCATCGTGGACCAGTGGAGGTCCGTGGCAGGTGACGATGGTGAGAAGCAAGCTGCCAGGGTGAGAGCGGTTGGCCGGCTCGAGTGCATGATCCGCGCCGTGGCGTTGGACAAGAAGACCCGGGAATTTGCCAAGATGGAGGATGCAGCCTTGGCTTTGCTGAGGGAGTGCAGCATGGAGATTGAGAAGCTACTGGATCCTCCGCAGGCATAGGTACAGGAAGCAAGTGCAGAACCCAAAGCAAAATCCAAGGCAATGGCACTGGAAGTGCACACACATCCCTCCGGGAGTGCGATGGCCAAGGCAAGCTGAAGAATCAGATGGACGTCTTGGCCGCGATGGGCTTTCAGATTGGTGTCACCATCCAGGATAATGATGTCATTGGAGAGATCAAAGAAGTTCATGACAGTGGAGTGACTTTGGTGCTTCGAAGTGAGCCTGAAGGTGGGCAGGTAAAGGTGAAGATCCAGTCCTTGCTTCAAAGAGAATGGAAGGAAGGAGTATGTGAAGCCCAAGCAACAGACGCAGGTGGAGTGGGTGATCGATCAACCCCTTACCTCTGCCGAGTTTCAGATCACGGTGCTGAAGGCCAATGTTGTGGCTGCTATGTACAAGCAGGCCAAGGACTTACACGGATGGATGACTGTGCAGCTGTGGACTGACCCAAAGACATTGACAGTCACCAGGTCTTGGCCAGCAAAAAAACTCCGGTTGCCATGTGCGACTGGGAAGATCCAGGTGGTGGAACCCAGCAAGGCCAATGCTATCATCATCGGTGCATACGCTCATAAGGTGGCTGCATCTCGCAATTCCATTGTCTTTTGCTGTTTTCTGCGAGCACGCCAGTAGATTCTTATTCTTTATCACCAAAAACCAAATAGATTTCAGAGGCATGATGTCTAAAACCAGATCGACGTGACACGATTCTTTTTTGATTCGCCCGGAAAGTGCTTGGCTTCAGAACAGTCCGCCACCGTTCGTGGTCACTGCCAATTGGAGAATGATTCCTCACAGGCGTGCGCAGCTGTGTCAACTGGAAAGTCGTGATGATGGCTGCGGTCGAATTTAGCGAACGGAAGAAACTTGAATTAATAGATATCAAGAACAACATGCAGGACAGTTTGTTTGGATTCCTTCTAAGTACTGATGATAGCACCGCAATCTCAAGTGGAAAGTGTTTGCTCCCACATCAAATCTTGTCACCGTGTGGAGCGTTTCAATGTATTGATTGGTTTTGCACCTGTTTACTTGACAATTGTTTCTTTTCGACTTTTCGACTTTTCGAGCCGAAATCTCCTGGGAGGTGAACTTTTCGACTTTTCAACTTTTCGAGGGCAAAAAACGTGATTTTCACGGTGTGACCGATACCAGCCAGAAGAGCACACAGTCCAATGGGGGGTACCCCCAATTTATGGATTTATGGATGAGAAAGTCCTATGAACATTTGAAAATTTGAACATGGATTCTTTGGGGGTACCCCAATTCAGGAACCCCCCTATGTCAAAGTATGAAAATGTGATAGTTCTGGATGGATTTGTAGAGGGATTTGTATAGAAATTTGAAACAGAGTCAGCAAACATGGTGATTGACATTGGAAAAAACATCAGACATCATAAAACATGGCCGTGAGGTTTTGGAACTTATCATGAATTATTCACTTAGGTATTCAACATAGTCAGGCATGTAAAAAATGTTTTTTAAAACATTGTTTAATGCCTTTTTCACCCATTGGTGACGGCCTCAAGGCCAGATGGGACCCTCTGTCTTTAACTGCCGTACATCGGAGTCCATGGCCAGTGGTGTTCTGTTGCTCTTCATTGGCCAATGGCTGCCGCATGGCGTAAGGCCAGACAGGAAAAGAAAAGGTGTGCGACTTTGGAAAAGAGGCGCAGGCAGCTGGAACGAAATCTGCAAAGGAAGAGACGACGACAGCAGAAAACTGATGCTGGGTTTAAGATGCGTCGATACACTGGAGGAAGCGACAAGTGTTCTAAGGGATCAATTTCTGCTTCCGTTCCAGGTTGGGAAATTATGGCTGGCAACCATCCCTCATTCTTGTATTTCATTGGCATGTGACAATTTGGCTATGTCGAGGTACTAAATTGATGCCACCCAAATGGACACTGTACATGTTTGCAGTCGGTGACTGGAATTCAACTTCCACATTCCTGTCCGCCCGCCAGATACTGTAAATAGATAGATACAGATACGCCCCAAATACCAACAATCATTATCAAATATACGTATATTTGCATATATGCGCACAGTATGATATAGATCTATTTACACTATGAAACACTATAGGAATATGAATATTCCATAAATATTCCATAGGTTCATAGTTCCACACTACATAGTAAGGACATACATATTCCCCATTGGGGTTTCATTCCACCTATTCCACCATTGCCCCAGGAAGCGGCCAGCCTTCGGCGCCGCTACGAGCGGCCGCGCATGAAGGCGGAGGACAAACGGTGCCAATGCTACTGGCGGAGCGTGTCGCAGAAACGATGCTCCGGTCACCGTTGTAAGGGGGACGATGGCATGGTGGGGCAATTGGGGAGATATCTAACCAGAAAAGATGGGGGGTATCAACCAAGAACATTGATAGAAGATGATAGAACATATACCCCTTGGATCCCCTTGGTAATTTGTTACATAGCTTTGGGAAACCACCGGAAATATCAAAGCTAAATCATCGAACCAATCATGCCATTTTCCATAGTTATGCCAGGTCAGAGGATATCAACCAGAAAGAAAGTGGGTATCACTGGTATCACACACACACAGAGTATCAATCAGGAAGATTGGAGGCATAAGACATACTGCTTTAATCCAGATTTGGCTTGGTTTGTTGATGTTTGATGCTTTTCGAAGCAACCACTTGGTTTGGGACAGGATCAATGGGGAGTGTTTATGATGGTGTTTCCACCCATCATCATCAGCAGCACCAGCATCAGCACCCAACCATGGGACGATTGATAAACAAACCCAAGAAGAAGAACGGAATGGGAAAACACGTCATACACGTCTTGGAATGCCTGTTTTTGGCATGTCTTGTTTTGATGTAGTCCCAGATGGTACTTGATTAGTTTGGCCAGTGAGACATCAAGGTTTTGCAAGTTGTTCCAAATAAACACAAAGCCCGCTAGAATTTGCCAGCACTGCTTGAGCCGACGGTTCTAAGGAAAGAAATTGGAGCGCTTGTTGCAAAATTGGAGCCGTGCGCACCAAAAAACACAGGCCTCGGCTGAACGAAAGCGGACAGCGCGTCAGGAAGGCCAAGAAAAAGAGAGCTGGGGCTGCCGGCTGCCGGGAGTGGAAAAAGGAATTGGACAAACAAACATCAATTGGCAACCAATAAGACCCAATAAGACCCAATAAGACCCAATAAACATCAATTTTGAAGGTGATGGTCTTATTGGGTCCATGCTATCGCTTGCTGCTCCCCAGAAACAATGCGGGATCATCTGACTCAAGATCTGCACATATCTGCACTCCCTCAATGTGGCAGTGTTAACATATTTTGAATGTGTTTCCTCAATCTTTATCTATTTATCATTATTTATCTGATATATCTATTCATCCACTTTTCTACATAGTCCTGAATATTTATCTACATATATAATCATATATCATATAATCCTCCTGAGAGTCAAAAAAGGGAACCCCCCATGGCCAGGCAGGTCAACTACCTTCGCCCGAATCACAGCAGCCGCGCTTGCGGTGCTGAAAAAGGGCAGCTGCTGCTGGGATGTGCTGGGCATAGCCACGACAAAGCTCTGCAGAGTTTGAAGATGGGATGAATGATGGAATGATGATGAATGTTCATAGCCACAAATCATATAAAGCCAGATAATAGGATTTAGATGGATTTAGTGGGTTCATTTGGTATGTGCTCCATTTTTTTTGATGAGCATGGTACCACAAGATGCATTTGTCTCATATGTCCATGCTATTCCAATGATGTCGAAGAGACCGTGAGCTAAGGTACAGCAACAACCCTGGAGTCTTAGTGACGGTCTGGTGCCCAGCAGAACACTTTAGCTGATCTACCTGGGTTCATAGGCCTGGAATTCCATTTGCTTAAGAAAACACGAATACTTTTGGTTTTGGTTAGCGCACAAAGCATGAATACATGGTTTCTTATTGGTATCTTCAGCCGTCCCTGAGACATCTCCACGTTAACTGCGCCTCAGTTGGCGCCAAGGTGTGGGATGCAAGTGGAATCACCACCTTCCACATTCCAGAGGCCTTGGTACCAAGCGAAACAGCCAATATTAATTTCTTGCAGTTGACTATAGTTGACTATAGTTGACTTGCTTGTTCGGCCATGTTCTAAAAGAGTAAGAGGTAATCAGCTATAGTTGATGGTTTAATTTACTCCTTTGTCGTTTCTCGCCGTATTTGGATGTAGAACAATTTGGATGGGGCCGGTGATCCGAAAAGACCGGCCAGGGGCAGATCCCAGCAGATCTGAAGGAAGATAACCCCCAGCCGCTGCTTGACCAGATTTTCTGTGTGAAACATGGGGGAAATTCAGCTGACATATGCTGACATTTAAACAACCCTGTTTGATGTGTTTGAGCCTCTGGAATAACGATGGTTGCCAGTGAGGTACAGGGGCTGGTTCGTTGGGTCAAAAAAGGGTCCTTTACCGGCAAAAAAGGACACCTTCGGAGCCACGAACCAACAATCCAGCGGTACCAATTTTTTGGGCAATGCTTACAACATCTTACAGCTATTTATACCCATTTATACCCCCTTTCGAAACAGCAGTTTCTAGCCGGCAGTGCAGCTACTGTGAGTGAAATTCCGAAAAATGGGCCGCCACAGAAATCTTCATTTTCTATCGAAACGGAAATTGGCTATGGATCCATACCTATAAAATCCTATAGATAATACATATAAATATATGAGCAACCGTAAAAACCCCGGCAATACTAAATATGTATTCGACGGACATTGGTTTATGGAAATTGATGGAAATTGTTAAAAACACGAGGTAAGCAATGGGACCTTCCCAAATTAGCGATACCCCTTTTCAAGGTTATGTCATCATATTTCTCTGATATCCACATTAGCGATACCCAAATATCACATATTATTCATGGTTCATCACATATATATACGTATATATAAATGCAGCAGTTTCCTGCAAGCGATACCCCCCAAGTTTACCATATATCATTATTGTACAAACGTGTGGTAAGCGATGGGACCTTCCCAAATTTGTGGATGTCCTTTCCGTGAACCTAGGGTTTTCACAATCGCTCATATAGATATAAATAGTATAAATACCATGTTTATCCATTTTAGGGGATAATCATCCATAAATTCCCATCTAAATCAACCGGCGATTTTGATGTGTTTCCGGACGGAGATTCCATGGCAAAATCTCTGAGGAACACGTGGCCAGCCATCTGGCGGATGGCCTTTATGCCCTTTGATCCCAAGACCTGTGCAGCTCGGCGAAGTTTTTGGATGGGATTGGAGAAGCCGATATCCATATATATGTTCCAATATATGATCCATTATATGGATGGTAGATCCAATACCTTTTTTTTTTTGGGGGGGGGTGTAGTTAAATGTATAGAACTATATAGAACATATACTCTCCATATATGATCATATGTATATTATATGTTATGTAGAGTTATATACATCTATCCATATTTTGGCTTGATGCTTCAAGAATAGGGGTACCAATGGCCACAGAGAATTGGAAGAAAGTGCTAGATGTTTATGATGTTTCAGCATCTAAGTTTGGCAAAGGGATCAGAATTTGATAGCCTGTCGACATTGATGACATTTGGTGACCGTGAACCGAGTAGAACTTGGGTCAACAACTCCAGAGGATTTTGGCGCAAGTTTCCTTCCGCATCATAATCCACATACAAAACATATCAAACATGTACTGTAGCGAGCGACAGTCAATTCAATTTGAGATGTTTACAACACGTTGCAGCCTATTTTCCTGTATCAACATTTGGCCATGTCTCGAAAATGGGGTACCAGTGGACCCAAAGACATTGGTCAAGAGGATTTGACTGTCCGACTTGAAGTGTCATTTTGGTTGGTTTTGCGGCGCTGCTTTGGAGCACCATTCGATTGAAACCATTTTTTTTGGGGGGGTGATATTTTGAGCCATACCCATTTGCTGCTCCACCTATCTTGCAGCTAGGTCGACATTGCTCATCCGCAGGAGCGGGTTTGGGATGCGATTTCCACAGCTCTGGAAGGGTCAAAAGCTTGGATACCCCACTTCTTTTGGATCTGGAGATGGCTGATAGTAAGGGTAACTATATGAAAATGACCGCAAATTATCATTTCATAATTTACCCAGAATTCTTTCTGAGACCGTGACCTACATTTGAGAAATTCTTCATGGTAAAATCATGCCAAATGTAGCAGACATTTGGATAAATTTGGGACGTGTGCGGGTACATAGAATACATTTACAGTATTTTACAGTATGAATCACTACTCACTCACTTAGTTCCGGATAGGGAAAAAAGATGAAAAAAGTGGGATTGCAAACTTGACACTTGACCCATCCCCATTTTTGGTCAAAATATATACACCCTTTGATATCCTGTTGATCCATCCTGCAGCTCATCAGGAGATTGTGCTCAATATCGCCCTCTGTGGCGATTGGGCTGGCAATGCGTGGGGCAGCCCTTGGGAGGGGTTTTCGAAGTGGGACTGAGTTTGAAGTTTGAACCTGGAGACCCAACTAAAAAAAAGGAACGAACAAATTGGTTCGAAAGATGATTTGCAGAACGGTCTTTTTATGTTTTTGTGAGGGGTTCAGAAAAAATACGATCAACTTGATGTCTCAAAAAACAGGGACCTGCCTTCGATCTTGGGCGTCTTCTGAACAGCGAAACCTGTGGGTTTGGGGGAAACGTGATAAAACCCTATGTAAAACCGTTGTTTCCAGGTTTTCGTTTGTTCTATCTCTATTCGCTATTCATTCTCCCGTTGCTGGTTAGATCTGAGGGTATTCAACTGGGACTTCCCCTCACTGCCGCACCTACGGAGTGCCCAAGGTGGTACAGCTGCAAGGAGTGCAAAAACACAGGCGGGGGAAAGGTCTGGGAAAAGGATGGGAAAACCATGGAAAACCAAGACATGTTGCCAAGCAATATGGTGGCATAGGTGGTGGTTCCATGGAGAATGGACGTGTTTTGTGGGATATTCATAGGAGTGGGGTGTGTTTGAAAAGGGCGGACGAAGCTTTTCATGGGGAACATCATGACTAACCCACGAGAAAGTTTGCTCACCTGCTGCAAGGACCTGTTGCCGAGGCGTTGTCTTTCTAGACCTGGTTTGAAGCATATTGACAATATTGATGTGAGGCTTCAACTCCTTCCAGGTTCGCTTATATACTTTCTTTTTTTGTCTTTTCTTTCTTTCTTTCTTTCTTTTTTCTTTTGTTTTCTTTCTTTTGTTTTTTTCTGTTTCTCTTTGTTTCAATTGTGTTCTTCATTGTCTTCATTTTTTCTTGTTCTTTCTTTCCTTCCTTTCTTCCTCCTTTGTCTCCTTTCTTTCTTCCAACTTCGTCTGCTTGCTCTTCCTCTCCTACCGTAGGAAGGTGACCCATCAAATGGTGGATCAGGGCAAGATGCATAGTTCAACCTGCTGACACTTTGCTCACGTTCGCAGGGAACGACTGGAACTCCGTTGCCGCCACAGGTTTCATCCCCAACTACTGCGTCCCGGGTCACGTGACTGAGCCTGCCACGGAGCCCTGGGGAGACTGGAGAAACATAGCTGCTGCACAGGGACGTCAACTTTCAGAAGTCATTGATTAATATGATTAAATATGATTAAATATGATTAAATATGATGAAATATATGTGAATTTGATCCATTGGTCCAAAAAATACAAGAGCCCCCAAAGTAGACCTTGCATCTTGGTCCGTTGGAGTGCAATTCCTGCTTGTTCCAGTCATCCCTGGGATTGAAAACAGTATTTTTCACCCTGACAATATTATATAGTACAATAATAGTATAATAATTAGTCAATATAATACCACTACAGTAATGGGTTTTTAATGGTTTTTATACATGTTTTTTTTGGTGTTTTTTTTTGTGTTCTGACCCTGACACCAGGACTGCTGCACCATCTACATGTCGAACCCCTCGGCAGAAGAACCTTTGAAGACAAAGGTGCAACTGGCGAGGGATCGAGATGTTGGATATGTTGGCCATGGCCTCCTTCGCAGGAAGGTATTCAACCATAGAAAATGCGGATTGCATGGAATATGAATGGGATACCTAAACGAACAGTCTGCGAACTGGTATAGATGGCACATTTACATACGTACATTTACTTCGATGATTTACCATGATTTGCCCATTACAAACATATTCAAACAGTTAAACATATGGTGATTTTCCAAAGCGCGGCGCAATGTTGACAGGGGTATATTGGGGATCAATACCATGGTTCATTCATTGACGGATAGTGCATCTGAACCTCTACTTTAAAGGCTTAGACTTTGAATCATCAAACCTGACAAGAAGACTACCCAAGGTCAACCTTAGGACCCTTGATAAATAGATATAAAAATGAATTAAACTGATATAAATAGTAAGTCCCCGTCCCCATTCAGTGGATGTTCCCAGTTATAAATGGATGATTCACTATGGTTGTTAACCACTTACAAAAGTGGGATGACCCAGATCCCCACTGTGCCAGGCATATTTTGACATCGACTATGTGAAGGTGGACCCATGGAGAAGGGAGCGGCCTGGGCGATATGGGCGAGTGATGCAAAACTCGGTAGATGAACCTCCACCAGTTTCATAGGTTTCGGCTAAACCAACATGTTTATGGCTTTAACCCCTAGTTTCACCAGACGTTGAACTAGTTTATATAAACAGACGCTTTAATACTTAGACCCCAAAAATCTCAGATCTCAAAAGCAAAAAAATCTGTAGCCAGGCACTGCTCCGTCCTACCCGGTCCTCCCGGACACTCCGCATCGTTACAGGTCTTTGAGCCAAAAGGGGTGAAGATGCCCAAGTATGCCGCTGGTACCTATAGGTGCCAGGGATGTTCTACGGATGGAGTGTTATCGTGTTACTTAGTGGGAGATTCTGATCTGATGTTTGTTGATTGGGAGATTCTTGGCCTTACTTTTTCATCAGTGGGTTCTTCAGGAATTCTCCTAGTTTAAAATATCTCCCAGAACAATGGGAGAGGGATCCGATGCCTATCAGACGAATGCCGCTTTTTATTTTTTGGGAACCTACAATGAACAGATCTACAATACTGCAAAACTCGGTTGCTGTGCGCTGTGACAGTTTGACTATCTGACTCACCGAATACGTGGGTGTGTCTGAAATGGGGATACCCATCTAAAATCTACAGGCAGCTTGATGGCAAAATGATCGTACACCATTTGATTTTGGGGTCCCTTATTTTCAGACAAAACCCACACGTTACAGATTCTAGGTGACGCAGCACATTAAACATCATTATATAAACTATCATTATACCAGTAGTACCGCACAAGGCGGTGGCGGAAGTTTCAAAAAAAGGAAACCTATAGGAGAGGTTGGTTGTTGTGAATCAGGGATGGCAGGGCGAAGCCACTGATTGACCGAAAAGTGGTTGGAGTTGTGTTTGCTGGAGTGGTTGCAATGGTTGCAGTGGTCACCTCACCCACAACTGTTGGATGTAGTGTGATGTACTGCAACTGTAGTTGTAGTTGTAGCGTAGTGGAGTTGTAGTTGTGGTGTAATGTAATTAGTGTAGTGTAGTTGCAGTCATATAGTTGTCGCTGGTAGTTGTTTTGTTTTTGTAGTTAGTTAGTAGTTAGTTAGTAGTAGTTGTTTGGTTGTGGGTTGGTAGTGGTAGTTCGTTGTTTGTAGTTGTTAGTGTAGGTGTGTTCTGTTGTAGTAGTTGTTGGTTTTGTTGTAGCTGTTAGTTGTGTGGGGTTGTAGTGTGTTGTGTAGTGTAGTTGTGTTAGTAGTTGTTTTTTTTTGTAGTTTGTAGTAGTTTGTAGTAGTTTGTAGTAGTTAGTAGTAGTTAGTAGTGTGTTGTTGTTGTTGCTGTTGTTATTGTTGTTGTTGTTATTGTTGTTGTTGTTGTTGTTGTTGTTGTTGTTGTTGTTGTTGTTGTTGTTGTTGTTGTTGTTGTTGTTGTTGTTGTTGTTGTCGTCGTTGTTGTTGTTTTGGTTGTTGTTGTTGTTGTTGTTGTTGTTGCTGTTGTTATGGTTGTTGTTGTGGTTGTGGTTGTTGTTGTTGTTGTTCTTGTTGT